ACAAAAAAGAGAAAAGACATTATTTTTTTCAACAGTTCAAGTATCAAAGATTTGGCAATGACAAGTAATTATACAGATATATAAGATTTTTTTTCTATCTTTTTATACAGCAAATAAAACTTCACCTACATATATCTTTTCATATATGACAATTTATAAAAATATCTTGCCACAGCCTTAAGTTTAAACTCAGGGTAGAGACATCACAGATAAAAGTAAATTTCCACCGCCAAGAAGCATTTCCCTAGCAGGCCAAGCTAAACATGTTACGAAAAACTAAAATAGAATTCTGTACGTAGAGGCATCTCCTTTTTTTCTTATAATTTTTTTTTCTTCATTTTTTGACATCTATATGTATAGGTTCCACAAGTTTTCTGGTCACATTCTCCACAGTGATCTTGTGCTTTAGGGCTTCCCTCTGCTGCCACTCCAGGTGCTCCAGGGATGCATGGCACACGCGGACTAGGAACTCTGCACCAGAACGCATGCGCTCCTTGCCAGAGACCTTGACATTCTCCAATCTGAAAAGGCACGATGGCTTTCTGTCATGTCTGCAACTATCTATCTATACATATCATTCATATTATTGTTGGATTGTCAGTCTATTTTACTGCACTGGAGTCATAAGTTACTGAGGTAATGGAAAAAGGATGGAAGAGAAAAAGTGAAAGAATGTATCAGTTAGAAGTCTGTGAAAGGAAACAGATAAAAAACTGAAAACAAAAACAGATAAAAAACTGGAAACAGTAACAGAAAAAAGACAGAATGAGAAGAGTTAATCCACAAAAATGTAGTGCTCACTGTGGTACTGTCTTGTGAAATGTCTCTACACACAGATGGCTCCTCAAGTGCTTCACCACCAAAGAGTCAATTAATAGAACTCATGACTTTGCCTGATTTCACCTTTCCTCGAGTTTTACTAATGCTATCAGTATCAATGCTTTTATTGTTATTACAGCCATTATAAACATTATAATGTTATTGGCATTACTAACAGCAGTAGAAATCAAGAAACAGGGTGAATAGGTGAGGTAGACAGGCTAGTAATTGGCTCATTGTTGACTAAGTACTTGTGGAGCCATCAATGTTTAAGATAATCAATAAACTCAGTGGGCACAGCATATACTTATGTGCAATCCCTGGCAGCAATTGGTTAACAAAACAAGACACAAGTTAAAGATGAGTAAAAAGAAAGAGATACAAAAGGAAAGCAAAAAGTAGACAAATAAGAATGCTGAGAAGGGAAATAGAGAGAGAGTGAAAGAAAAAGAAAAAGTACATGCAAAAAGGAAATTAGAAAGGAACCATATATCAGGAATAACATTCAGACTAAGAGAGGCCTTACTCTTCCTTGGCTTGCTCTAACGCACACTGCTTCTGGTAAATTGTTCCCTTGTGTGTCTTACGAGCCTCCAGGATTTGCTGGTCCATTCGGTCACTTTCTACCTGCATCTCCTTCTCCTGTGTGCAGAGCGATATTTTCCAGTTGATATCAAATACAGTTATAAATAATTCCTTATGTAATGCTGCATGGATAACAACTTGCATCATTTTGTCTCAGAGGAAAGCTGAAGTCATAGGCACAGGCTTTTAAGCAGGTAATTCACAGCAGCTTCAGTAAAGAAAATTTATCTATATACAGGTTATAATAACCTGTATATAGAAGATGGTGTCTATTCAGCTTACTCTTCTTTATCTCATTGAAAACTTTACACTTAACATACATCTACACTTCAGAAAAATGTAAAAAAGGCATGAAGATATATATGTCATCTAATGAAAATAAAGACCAGTACTGAAGAATAGACTGATGATGCCATTTGAAAGAGCTGTGACATTCTGAGTTACAGCACAAATCTCAGGCCTCTGTGTAATGTCCCACATGTGTCACAAAAGCATGTCAAGGCTTAAGGCATACTCTTTACTGCTTGACACAAGTGATGAAGACTACTGTGACATTACCTGCCACCTGCCCCTCATACCTTTTACCTCTCATCACAGACAATCTTATTTCAACATTACAAGGGTATCTTTATCAGATTTTGTGATCTTCTCATACATTTATTTGGCACTGCTAAAAAAAAATAGTAATCATTTAAAAGAGAAAACATTGGAGACTGTCAAGAAAAAATTTAAAGCTAAAATTAGAATAGTTTATTCTTTCCAAAACTACTAATATTCACAAAAGTGAACTATAAATCTGCCATCTTTTAATTATGTGAACACTTTTATTTGGAATAAATGGACATGCTAATGTAATGTCCACTCTTGTAAAGTAATGTATCTGATTGAATCATTTAATTCAATATGCTCACAGCAATGTAGTTAAGTCTAAGTGATAGTAACATAAAATTTCCATAGTAAAATCACTGTTTGTGTAAAATATTTACATTCTAGCATAGTCTATTTAGCATCAATAAGCAAATGCTTTAAAATTAAAGATTCCAAAATAGTACCAATAAAAATCTAAGTGAAAGCTTACCTCAGCAGTAATTTCATTTTTGGTCATTAAAATGTCTTCTTCCACTCTTCGCAACCGACTCTCGAGCTTTGTCAACTGGTCCTTTTTCTCAAGCAGCATTTCATTCACCTGTAAAGAATATGATCAAATTCCTTGAGCCACATTTTACAGGAACCTTATTTACCTGAATGTAACACAAATAGCATTGCATGGATAGGACACTGACCAATACTATATACACTTAGAGAGAATACTTGCCATGCTAATTTCCTCCTCTTTTCGTATCAGCTGGTTCTGTGCCTCGTACATGGCATGTTTCGCATCCTTCTTCCTATGTCGTAGCTCATCAAGCAGTGTGGTCTGCCAGTGGCATAAATTCTCAGCTACATCAGCCAGTGAAATTTCATAATCATCAGGAAGGTCTAGCTGACGGACCAGTTTGTTATAGGCACACATACTATCACACAAGCTTGACCGAGCTTTGCCCAGTTCCATCTCTAGTGACCATATCTGAAAGGAGAGAAATATCATAATTGCAAGAAATTAATTGAATCTATAATTTTCAAACCCATTCAACAAAAACCCAGACAAATGAGAACCATCTGCTGTAAAAATTATATCATACCATATTTTATATACACACCTTTCTTTACAAAACAGTGAACAGAACCACAATTGTTCTGTAAAGAGTAATATCAGCAGTAGACTAACTGTTATTTCTTACTATCAATTAAACAAAAATCTGTTTTTTGTCCCTCCCCTCCATTCAGAGCTTCTTTACCACTTATTATACTTAAAATACTGTAAACTGTGAAAAAAGGCTGTAATCCCTATGACTACAGGTATATATATTGCCCCTGTAGTTTTTTTTTTGCGAATTTTGTCACATACATTTTGTGGGAAATGTGTTTTTCTTTCTATTACCATTGATATCGATACTGTTATTCTTATTGATATCATAATTATCAAAGTGTTGTTAAAATCTCAACAACATTAAAGACAATGAAATAGTAAAAAAGATACTTTCCAAAAATCAATTAATAGAGTAAACAAGTGAGATAGGTAGGACTAAAAGCAGGTGACTAAGCACTTGTAGGGCCATCTATGTGTAAAGACAATAAATTAACTTTTATTACAGTAGGCATGGCATGGCATTCTTGTTATCTGTGCCAATTGGGCTAACTTAAACATAGCAGAAAGAAATCAAGGTGTTTTAAGAAAGAAAGAAGACAAAAACATAATGAGTGAATTAACAGAAAATTTCGTAACTCCATACAATGGCAAAACAACAAATATGTTCAGTCAGTCAACTCAGAATATTCTGATATTTTTTCTTTTAAAGGATGAGCTTTGAGATCTCCTTAAAGGGAATAATAAAAGGATGCAAGTTTCAAAATAAAGCACCCTATATAACATGTTTAATCGTAAAAAACAATGATACAAAGATATCAGTAGAAGTAAAGGAAGAAGGAGTAAGTGAAGGAGAAGATAAAAGCAAACATGAAAAAAAGGGAAGAAGAAGAGGATGCAGAAAGCAAAAAGGGGACACACTTTACCTGAGCGTCTTGATCTTTTCCCTGGGCTTGGAGCTGTGATATAATTGTAGCAACATTATTTGCATGGTTCTTGAATCTTGCCAATTCCCCAACATTCAAAGCCTGTTGTTCCTTCAGTGTTTCCAAGCGAGCGACTTCCTCAAAAACCTGGGAAAATATGGAAGAATGAGGTAATATAAGCATCTTACCAAGAAAATATCAACATAACTCATAGAATATAAAGAAAGAGAAGTAACAGCTATTTGGTAATTTTCAATATTTGCTCACTGAGAATTTTTAATATTTGCTCATTGAGATATCATTGTCTCATCACTTTTATGTAAAAATATCATACCTGCTTTTTAGCAGCTTTAAGCTCCGCCAGTTTTGATTCCATCTGCGAACGATCACCATCTCTTGCAGATATATGGACCTGCAGCTCTCTACAGTAATCTGACATTTTCTCATTGTCATCTACAAGCTGTCAAAAGAATTTACAAGATGAATGAGTTTCATGTAAAGTAATGAAGAAAGACAGAAAGAAAGAAACAAACAAACAAACAATTATGACATTATTTAGCTTAATGAATCTTATGATACTTTATGCTCTATAATGCACTTTAAAATAAGGTCCTAAGATGATTCTCACATAAGATATCAATTGCACTGATACCTGAGTGTACTGGTGATGCAGCTGCTGCAGTCTCTCTGGTCCATTGTTCAGGTTGCTCACCATGTCTTCAAGCCTTTCATCCTCCTCCTGGATTTGCAGAAGATCCTGTTTTCTCACACCCTGTACTTGCTCTAGTACGTGCCTGTACTCCTGCAGGTACCAGAAAGCCAAATGTTGTTGCATAATCATTCAAATCTTTCACCCTTTACAACTATTTCCTCTCAGTAAATATTATAAACTTTACTTTAAAAAACTAAATTGCTCTGTTTATATCTTGATTAGCAGACCATCCATACTACTTTTACAAATGACCAAATCCAACTCACATATAAACCCACACTCACCCACATTCTAAACCACACATATCCAAATCCACTTCTTCCCCACACATACAAAATAGACTCAGACTTACTTCTAGCTTAGCCTCAACCTGTTCCGTGTCATCATCAATGCTGGCGAGTTCAACTTGTACAGTAAACCTAGTCTTGGAAAGATTGATTTCACTGTCAAAGTCACTTGGAAAGGCAATGGGCATCGGGTTGATGCAGCTGTACAAGTTCACCACATCAACCAACCATGCTAGCATAGCCAGAACCGAGGGCCATGTGTGAGGAGATCCAACTGTTTGTGATAGAACAGGATGAGTGCTGTAGTTAAATGCAATCAAATATACAAATCATGAAATTCCTAACCATATATTCAAATTCTCACTGCACTGGGATCTCTTTAAATAAATATGGCAGTTACCCAGACAATTTTAAAAATTAACCATAGCTGCTTAAAGAAATCAACAGAGGCCTAAAAGAAAGAAAACAACTGCAGTAAGAAAAGAACACAAACAGGTGACTCTAGCTAAGAAGGAATCTACTTTCACTCAAAGTAATTTTTTTTTTCTTATATGATTATCATGTAGTACATAATTGTGATAATCTACACTGTTTTACTGAGGTAAATCTAATTCTTAATGCTATTACTCAAAATAAGTATTAATAAGGGATAATGGTACAAAAGGAACAAAGTGAAATGGAGAAGGATAAAGAGATGAATACCAGTGTTTAAAAAAGTATCTGAAAGCTTAAGATGTATTAGAAAAAAGGAAAGGAAGAGACTGAGAAAGAAAATATAAGATAGAAAAAAGTATAAGAGACAGAAAAGGTAGACAGGATAGTCATAAAAAAGAAAATAGTTTAGGTTTTATAAACCAGTTGACACTGTTGTAAAGGGCAATCCTAAAATTTGGAGAATCTCATATGTTTTTTGGATTTCTACCAAGCCAAATGAAGTCAAAGAAAAATAAATAAATATATAAATAGAGTAACATAGAGGCAAATCAACTCACCTGTAATAAAGGATGATTTTGACATCTGCACGGGATAAGTCAAAAGCTTTAATAGGCGTGGAATTTCCTCCTCGAATCTATTTGGCAAATTGTATTGACTATCAAGGTGCCTGTATATAAACTGAAAATAAATAAACAAAATGTTAAAGTCTGTTTCAATTTAATATATATCCCTTTTTGTATATAATATATATAATAATCCTTACTAATCACTGGATAGAGTGCACTGAAATTTGAAACCCAAAACAAAAATATCCACCCCAGAAAGTAAGATAAAAAGCAAACAATACATAAATGTATTAGAAGTCCAAAAGACATACACTGAAAATGTTAGCAAAATCCTTTGTGGAAGGTGTGAGGAGAGTTCTTCGCTGAAGCTGGTGTTCATAGCCACCACTGACTAGGAAGTCCAGAATTTTGTCCACGCACTGGCTCTTAAAATTGGAGTCTGTGATGGGTCGTGTCTCCTTCCTCGCCTTCGTCCCCATGCCGGAGCTGCGCACTGAATCCGTTGACAGTCTGTTAGAGTAATGGTTTAGCATAACTACAGCATCCAAGATACCAGTCTTTTCTTTCAAAACATTAGATTGTATAAGTCTGAAATAATAGTCTACATGCTAATGATTTGAAATATACAGTTGTAAGGTATTCTGTTCTGAAAAGAAAAGAAAAGATAAGAAAAAAAATCATAAAGGTACATAATATATGTGTGTGTGTGTGTGTGTGTGTGTGTGTGTGTGTGTGTGTGTGTGTGTGTGTGTGTGTGTGTGTGTGTGTGTGTGTGTGTGTGTGTGTGTGTATATGTGTGTATATGTGTGTATATGTGTGTATATGTGTGTGTATGTGTGTGTATGTGTGTGTATGTGTGTGTATGTGTGTGTATGTGTGTGTATGTGTGTGTATGTGTGTGTATGTGTGTGTATGTGTGTGTATGTGTGTGTATGTGTGTGTATGTGTGTGTATGTGTGCGTATATATATATTTATACATATATATACATATATATATATTTATTCATATACATACATATATACACACATATACATAAATATATATAAACATATATACATATATATATATGACACAAACACAAAGACAGTAATGTCTTTATGATAGGACAGAGTAGTTTTACTTCTTTAGTAAAGTTTCAGTCATTCCTAAATATTTTCATAGAAACCGTGAAAATAAGCCTGCTGTAACTGATGACAAATACATAGTTAAACACCAAGATTTCCAATCTTCCTGGAAGAAAAAGAAAGAAATAAAGAAAGAAGGAAAGAAAGAAAGAAGGAAAGAAGGAAAGAAATAAAAGAAAGAAAGAAAGAGAGAAAGAAAGAAAGAAGGAAAGAAATAAAAGAAAGAAAGAGAGAAAGAGAGAAAGAAAGAGAGAAAGAAAGAGAGAAAGAAAGAAGGAAAGAAAGAAAGAAAGAAGGAAAGAAAGAAAGAAAATGTTGAATAAACTCTGTCATGCCACTAACCTGCTGACACTGGGAGGAGCCAGCATGGAAGAGACCATGGCATTGTTGCGAGTGGGGGTAAATCTTCCTGAAGCTATGGAGAGTCTGCCGATTCCCTCAGCACTGATGCGCTTACTTCTACTGGCTAGTTTTTTAGCACTGTCTGCTTGTGAGGCTTTGGGAAGGTATGATTTCCTTATCTGTTGCCCTGCACTCCGTCTGAAGCATAGAAATTATTTTGCTGGTTTGTATAATACGATGTATCAAGGAATGCACACCATCTAGACCTCATCAAAGGATATACACTTACTTTACCCTTTCTGAGTCTAAGTATAAAAATAAAGCCAGTACTTACAGTCAGCTCTCTTTCGATTGAAATGGTTTCAAGAATTATGTTTCTATTTATAATATAGTCCTAACTCACCTGTTATTTGGAGTATTGTCTGTATTTCTTGGTTTCAGGGTTCCAGGGCGCTGAACACTCCCACTCCCTAAATTTGATTTTCGCATCATTTTGGCCTAAAAATCAAAATTTAAACAACTGAAAAAATAATAATAAAATTAGAACAAAATTAACTGAAATATAACCTATAAATTTTCTGATAATAAAGATTTATAATGGGAAGAAAAAAGCTTAAACAGTTTCACATAGCCATATGATACAAGGTAAACCTTGCCTATAATGGACAGAACAAAAAAAAAATAAGACACTTTTCATATGTGGTATTTCCTCTGCAAGTTGACAACAAGAGTTATGCAGTATGAAATATTTAGGTATATATTTACATAAAGACCATACTAAGATGGGGAAAGTCTAATGACACTATGGCAAAGAAAGGAAAAACTATTCTGCGTTAACAAAGATTATCATCGGAAATTAAGAAAATAGGTAATGAAAAAGGCTGCATGAAGAGTTAGTCCACAGCAATCAGGTATGAGTAGAGCCCCTGATAGGGAATTACAGAGATTGGGGGCAAGGCCTCGAGGTTAGGCAGTGATGCTGGTGGACCCCTAGGAGTGCAGAGTAATTGGAACTTGATTTCAGAAAGGTGCGGTCACCTCATTGGAAAACAGCAAGAGATGCATGCATATCCCTATGAATAATGGAAAAATGAAAAGAACTGCAAGGTTGGATAGCTGTGTGAAACAAAATATTAAGGAAAAAATAAGCTGTCCACCTTTTGTATTCAAGTGTGGTGTTGAGGGACAGCACCTCCCTTAAGGTTGATGACAGAAGCTACAGCCCCCTCCCCCCCTGCATTTGATAATTAATTCGTGCACATATATCCTATTTTCCCGGCACCTTCCATACCCTCCCCTACTACTGACGTTACACTTGTGGGCTATGTTTATCCTTCCATTTATGCATAGAAGAGAGAAAGGGAAAACACCAGCAGCGGTCTTTTAAACATCAAGCAAGTCCTTTAAACATCAAGCAAGTCTTTTAAACATCAAGCAAGTCTTCTAAACATCAAAAAATTTAAACATTGGCAAGGTAAACAAACACGAGAATTGGGAAAATCGGACCTGTCATTTTGAATTCACAAGAAATCGTACATATTCCCTAATCTCACTATAAATGAAGGCTTGTTTCCCTAATATCACGATATATGAAGGCTTGTTTTACATTCCTGGAGCTTTAGAGGCTTCAAAACAAATAGAGTAAAGCAGAACTGGGCAAAAACACTTACAAAATTGAGTCAATTTGATCACAGTGTCAAGGCGAAGCTTTGTTTACAAATTTGAATTCGCGTTCGTTAGCAGATAAAATCTGTAAACATAAATCAAAGTATTGGGCTTTTAATGCCTAAAATCTGATTTAATTACATAATCTATTTTTTTAGATTTATTTCAAAATATCTAGATATTAATATATGTACGGACTGAGAATAATAGATATTGATAATTCTTTTGAAAGCGATTTCAAATATTATCTCACGTCAAATATCGTATGATCTGTCACAAATTCACAAATATCATTTAACAGACTCTTCTTTCTAAGAATAACATATCAATTCATTACAGATACAATATTTCTAAACAAAAAGACAACTGTAATGAATGCTGTTGTAAACAAACTCAAACTGACATGTAAGAACTTGTAAGCGTCAACATGCGCACATGTGCGCGCACGCACACCTACACCTACATATGTATGTATGTATACACATGTGTGTGTATATCACACACGCACTCACACACACACACACACACACACACACACACACACACACACACACACACACACACACACATATATATATATATATATATATATATATATATATATATATATATATATATATATATATTTCTGTGTGTGTAACAGACAACATGCATACATATATATAAATATATATAAATATATATGTACGTACAGATAGATAGATAAGTATATGAAAATATAGACATGTACATGTATATGCATGTATATATACATACATGTGTATATATGTATATAATGTATATTATATGTATATATATATATATATATATATATATATATATATACATACATATATATGTATATATATATATATATATATATATATATATATATATATATATATATATATATATGTATATATGCGTGTGTGTCTGTGTCTGTGTACAAGCGGGGACATACGCACATGGATTTTTTTGCAGGTATTGGCGTTATCGTATTATTGCTAATTTCATTTCCAGTTCTTATTTTATAATGATCTTTTGTTAGTGTGATTTTTAAATGCTTTTTTAGGGGTTTCAAGTGCCGCAGAAAATAAGCTAGGACTCAGACCATACTCTGATTTTTTCATTTAAAGACAAACATAGGCTTACGTCGTTTTTTGCAAGGGAAAACGACTAAACTCTCTCTCTCTCTCTCTCTCTCTCTCTCTCTCTCTCTCTCTCTCTCTCTCTCTCTCTCTCTCTCTCTCTCTCTCTCTCTCTCTCTTTAAAAACGAATAAGATAAACCGATATATAAAGCTGATACATATGAATGGTTAAGGTTACCATCTAAGCAATTCATTTTGGGCAATAATTCACACGATTTTTCTGTCCGCTATTCCCAACACAACATTATATATCAAATTCAAATATATATGAATGTCGTAGTTTGCTATTCTAATTGGCTAGTTGAGAGCTCATAACATGGTAATTTGTTTTGGAATGTCTAGGAGTCATTTCATATATGTAGAGTAAGCATATTGGCAATAAATGCAGGGCTACAGGTATGTACAGATTGTCTATACATTGTTTAGAATTACCAGCGAGTGTTAATTGGCAAACTATGAAATAAGTTTCTTTCATTGTGATCTCAAATACGGTACCCAAGAATGAACGGAATATTTGGGAATCTGGGAAAGATATCTATCTACATTAGAGAATCTATCGCAAATGGAAAAGCATAGGTAATTGATAAGTGGTTTATTTGCTTATTCATGTAATTTTCTAAAAACCTCCCTACTGTAGATAAGTGCAGTTATTACATCTCAGCCTCCTCCTTCCCTTTCTCCCTCTCTTTCTTTCTTAATTCATTGGCTAATATTCACATATCAAAGTAAATTATCTAAAAGCTAAACCAGTATAAAGTATAAGACACAAACAATTGATATGGAGATACAGGCTAATCTAGATTCTAATTAAATATTATAAAGGTAATATAAAACTAAAAAAGGAAATTCCATTTACAAGAATTTTAAAACCTTTGGTATTAAGAAAAGCATGTCCAAGAACACAACATTATATAGCAGTGTTCCTCATTGAGTGTATTCTGGAATGACCTGCCATGGCCTGCGTCGTGGCTGCTCTCCAGTGCGTCCGCCGTCCGTCACCCTCGCCACGGGCCTGAGGGTGTGTTGTCCGACGCAGACGCAGTGGCTGTAGGTGTGGCACTTGCTCTTGTCTTTTGAACGCGACGGTGAGACCCGTCACATCCTTCTGTTACTGGAGATTCTGAAGGTTGTTTCGAGTGCCGTAATCTTGATGTTGCTAGCTCTGATGTGTATTCTTTCAAGGAGATCGATGTGACTTTCAGCAGCTCCTCGCCATGTCAAAGAAATATACTACCTCAGCGAGAGGAACTTTCCATTTTCATCCAACATGTCATTTATGAATATATTTCACTCGAGAGGTCCAGGACGTTCCCATGGGGCACATCTGTCCTTATTGATGATTTTCTTCCACTCTAGGCTTAAATATCTATTGGTATGTTAGCAAACAGATTGTTAAGGGCACCATCCACACCACGCCACTCCCCCCCCCCTCTCTGTTTATACTTCTTTTCATCTCACTCTTATTCACTATTCATTTTGTTTTTTATTTGTCAGTTTGACTCTATTTCCAGCTCTTTCTCTTTCACTCTCTCTCTCTTTTCCGACCTTCTCTTTCTCTTTTCTGCGACTCTCTTATTCTCTAGTCTCATTCTCTCTCTCTCTCTCTCTCTCTCTCTCTCTCTCTCTCTCTCTCTCTCTCTCTCTCTCTCTCTCTCTCTCTCTCTCTCTCTGAACACACACACACACACACACACACACGCACACACACACACACACACACACACACACACACACACACACACACACACACACACACACATATATATATATATATATATATATATACATATATATATATATATATATATATATATATACATATATATATATATACATACATATATATATATATATATATATATATATATATATATATATATATATATTTATATATATATACGGGGATTGATCGAACTTGTCAGTTATCTACATTTCGTGATACGGACAGGGAAACACTCACACCTATCATATCAGTGACATTCCGCTGCTGATAACAATTATAGAATATCATATCTGATATCACTATCCAGCGGAGAACACAATATCATATATTTTTATATTTTATTGGTTACAGTATTTGTTGTTTCAGTTGTCAATGTAGTCGCTGTAATGCAACATTTTTTTATCGAGGCAAAACAAATGAACTTGGCTGCTCAATGATTAACTGAATGGAACCTGTCACACTAACATCGTTAATATTTCACCTTGCCAATTATTAAATAATGGATATGAATAACCTGTCAGACTGTCATAAGTTGTCATAAGCTTGCCAGTTATCAAATAATGGATATCAACGACCCGTTAAATTGTCATCAATCGTCAACTTGTGAAAAGCATCTTCGTGGCGATACGACAGAGTGACTAGTGTATCTTGTTCAGTTGAATAATTATTGCACCTTGCAGGATACTAAAAGTTGCACCCCCTGTCTTACATATTAGCTACCGTCATTGCAATGCAAGATCGGTAAATCTGTTTTAAACTTATTGTGAGTTTGATGCTGCGATATCCTTCCTTGCCTTCTTTGCTATTTCGACGGTTACATTTTCCACCAGGTTCACCCTTTGATACACACCAACTCCCTCCTAATATACAATTCCGTATGATCATATCCAGGAGTATATTGTAACAACGCTCTTTTCTGCATTGCTTATTTCAGCTTTACAATGGATGTTCACATGTGTTTTTACTTCCCACTTCATACCTTTGCCCTATGCGAGCAGCCGTCCACACATTTAGCCTGACACCTTGTCCGAAATCAGTCAGATATTCATGTCTAGTGACTTCTGGACCTCAAAAAGGACCTAATTGCTGCCGTGCATTTTTAAATGCCTTCCCTTCTTTTATCTTTTCCTGAGACTTGAAAATAAAATTCAGGTAGGTTTCAAAGTTGATTTCTAAATCTTAAATAAACTTTTAATGTACATTGTAAGTTTGTGCCATTCGTAACTAATACTTTTCACTGAGCAAAGTAATAATGACAGGCATCTCTGCAGCCCTATTCCAAAGATAAAGCAACATTGCGTATTAGTGTGCACGCTAAAATGCCATTCCAACATGTCTGCGATGATAATCAGAGACAGAAGCAGAAGCACTATGAACTAACTTGATTATTCCCTTGAATAAGTCAATACACCAAGAATATTCAAGTTACCAAGGCGTTGTTAGATTGGAGTCATCAGTAGAGTTAGTAAGGGTCAGTGTTTATAAGCTTTTGTATCTGATTACGCTGAACAGTGATTGCAGTAATTATTGATTAATATTCAGGCTCGATGAAATATGAGTTTGTAACAATGCGTTTCGTGAAACCCTATAGGATATATTGTGATTTTAGTAAAGCCCTCTTACTCTGATGATCATTCTACATTTTTTACATCATGCTTTACTGTTTTTTTTTTTTTTTTTTTTTTTTTTTTTTTTTTTTTTTTTTTTTTTTTTACATCAAAAGTCGCATAGCAGTTCAGAGAGGGTGATTAAATGGGCAAAAGGATTTTTAAGGGCGATTAGATCACAGTTCAGGAGAAATGTCAGGACGTAGAGAATCCAGGGAAGTGGGCTGCAGTGACAAAGAGTCGCATGTATATCCAGGGGGAGACGGAAGGGAAAATGGGGAAGGAGGGTGGAATGATGTAGATGAAGCAGAGGAGAACGAGATTAATTGGGAGGGAGTGGGAGGAAGGGGTGTTGGAGGGAACATGAGGAGGAGGAGGATGGATGTCGGGAGGTACTTTGAGTGTAGAGGGAATGGGAGCAAAAAGGTTGGAAGATGGATGAGGTGTAAGCATGTTATTTTGGGTCATGATTGTATAGTTCTGAATGTCTTTTGAGAGTTTCTGAAGTGGATTTGGTTGAAGAGGTCTGAAAAAGAAAGGTTTTCTTATGATATAGGCATCTGAAAGGTAGAGAAAGAGGTAGGTGGAGGAGAGGGTGCTCTAGAAGAT